TTCATGTTCGATTGCTTCTCTCAATTCAGCCACTGTTGCAATAGCAAAAATGTAGTGACAAACCAATAAAATGGTATTTTATTTACTTTTACGTTAATAAAATAACAAAATTATAATAAACGCCAAGTTTACAACTACTTAAAATGTGTACACATTTTTTTTGGGACACCCTGTATATTTTAAAAATGTAATACTGTAAGAGTAAAGGACTAAAGAAATGTTTGGTAAGCAAATGTAACTTGCCGCCTGCTTCTTCAAAATATCATCAGATATGGCCTTTGACGAATCCAGGATCTTAATAGCGGATTCATTCTCCAGAATATTGCCCTCAGATTCTGACAGTGTAACCAGGATACGATCCTCAGTCTCCTTCAGTACGCGACGGTTATTGGCCGTTGTAATGATCAATTCCTGTCGGGCTTCTTCAAGTTCTGGTCTATGGATAACAAGGGCAAATTGGGATGCTAGAAAGAATTCCCTACGTACAAGCAAATGTCGTGGAGGCCTGGCAGGTTCAAGCAAAGATGTGCTACAATCATCTCATCAACGTACACAGACGTTCATTGAATAACCGATACTTAGGCAGTGGACGCAAATTTTACAGACTATATTTGACTGCCTTCACTCACGCGAACCCTCATAATCATAGTTTGGCCGAGTTAATTAACTAGCCTGGGAGTGGTGTTCACTAGTCTAGGCGAACTGAAAGGCGAAATACTAACGAATCCATTGGAGCTTCAGCCCAGGTAGTCCACAGGCAGTCGCGTAAAAGATAAGGCAGTTCTACCTAGAATTTACCATAGCTTCATAAGAGGATTGATTAAGTCTTTAAGTAGATGATGGAAATTAGAGATGGGCTCCAGGAAACAGATGAAACGCACGTAAAGGACCTTTTAGAGGATTTCATTTCCTGCCCGTTAACTACGTGGAAGCGTTATGAAATATGAACGATGTTCCCCACCTTTGTGATGACTTTCTCTTGTTATACAATCCCTAATGCGGGATTAATAGGTGAGAAGACTAAATTTGATTGTATCTTCTTTCCAGAATACGTTCATCTCCCGAAGAGGAAGAAGAAGAGGGGGCAGGTTCATGGACCAAAATATATTGTGAGTGACCTTTCAAAAACACACTCGTTTCCATATTCAGAGTACCAAGCTTACTCTTCCGTGGACCTTGAGTGGATTCGTCTCGCCCCCAGCCTCGTATTGTGCTAGTGCTCAGTACATGTGTGTTTGCCTGCCAGTTGGTCAGTTGGCTGGCTCCGACCTCTTTGCTATCGACTAATGGCGGGTC